CTGTCTCAAAAATAAATAAACGTTGAAAAAAAAATTAAAAAAAAAAAAAAAAAGAGTGTCCCTGCTATGGCAGCCTCATTTTAAAAGGCAGTATCTCTAAAGATCATGTCAATAGGAGCACTTCTTATTTGTAGAATGGCATAAAAATCAAAGCTAGTTTAGGTTTTAAACACTTGGACCTATTAAAGCTTTTAAATAGTGTTTTAATTGTGCTTGTTATTAATCTCTCTAAAGTTGTTAAGTAGATGGGTAGTATACGGAGATCTCTAATAAGTGGGTGCTATGTGAGAAATAATCCCTTATCTGTAAACTTTTTTTTTAATGTTTGTTTATTTTTGAGAGAGAGAGAGAGAGAGAGAGAGAGACAGAGCATGAGTGGGGGAGGGGCAGAGAGAGGGAGACACAGAATCCAAAGCAGGCTCCAGGCTCTGAGCTGTCAGCACAGAGCCTGACACGGGGCTCGAACCCATGAACTGTGAGATCATGCCCTGAGCCAAAGTGGGACACTTAACCTACTGAGCCACCCAGGCACCCCCCCCTTAAACTCTTAATGAGAGTATTTTACAGATAAGCTGGGTAAGTGATTTGCCTAATTAAGAGTGATGTGATCAATCACTCAGCATTTTTAGACTTTCTACAATGTAGTTTCTCCCTCTTACAAGTAGATATCCACAAATTCACCTTTCCCAAATCAGTTCTGCATTTGGTACCTGACATGAGCAAAGTATTGTAAGTTGTCTTCACTTCTCATTAACTCTTTTTTTCTCTCCCCTCTTTTTTTAGGTGTCCACTGATTTGGAGAATGTAGACACGGGAGTTAATTCTAAAGCTAAGAGTCATGTGACAATGAGGCGGGCAGTTTTAGAAGAAATTGGAAATAGAGTTACGACCAGACCTCCACACATAGCTAAGGTAATAGCCATGAAGATTGTCCATGTGTACACTTGGCTGATTGTGTATAGCTCTGAAGAACACCACTGACTTTCTTGCCCTGTTACATTTCTTTTCCTTTGTAGAAAACTCAGAACACCAAAATACCTGTTCAACCCACCAAAACAAATGTCAACAAACAACTGAAACCCACTGCTTCCGTGAAACCAGTACAGATGGAAATGTTGGCTCCAAAGGTGGGACGGTTTGTATTTACACATGTACTTAATGAAATAGCTTGTTTTCGGCTAGACTGCAAAGGCGCCGTTGTCATCACCGCCATTTTTGAAGAACATTCATAACTAGAGCTCTCCTTTGAAACAGCAGAGTACAAAATGAGCATATCCATCCTTTTAGTGATGGCACCTTAATGTTATTCATAACAAAATTTTGCACCATTTCCCCACATTTTATATATCTCCCTAATCTCATTTGAAGTGAGGGATTCCTCTGCCTTTTTCTCTTCCTCCTCTGCAGAGGAGATGCAGATGTGGACTTCTTATAAAATCATTCAATTTTGGCCGCTTGCATACTCGTTCATACCGTAATGGTCCCCTTACTGTGTTTCTTTTGACCATTTTCCTGCAAGGGGGTCATTTTATACTCTCGCATAGATGTTGACTGCAGTACAGTATGAAACTTTTGTCATATACTGTATTCAATGTAACTAGCAATAAGGCAACAGAGGAAGGGGTCTCTGTCTGCAGACAGCTTGACCTAGAATGAAACAAAGCATTCCTAAGCTTACTTTTGTGTGGAAAAGCAAAGAGCTGTCCATAAGTGCTTTGAAGTGACAAAAAATACACCAATACCAGTTGTGGGCACCTTCCAACGTTCTGAAAAATCACTGATTTCTGCTAAGCACCACAGCCTGAAACCGAGCATCTGAGCATGGGAGACCATCATCCACAATCCTGTAGGGAGTGAGAGAGACGAGAACCATTGGCTCAGTTGTGATCATGTGATGTTCAGCACCACGTAGTACTCGTATTGCAAGACATCGCTCATTTATCAAGTTAAAATTTATTAGAAATGTTTGCTCATCTTGCAGAACATTTGCAGAACAAGTTACTCGCAGTCCAAGGTTTTACTCTATATATAATATACAGTAATAACATTTATAACATTGTTTGAAAATTTTCAAAATAACACATTGGATATATTTGAGAAATATATGTATTGACCACTTAATAAACACATCCAGTAGTGTTAAGGCTGATAAAGAGATATCTTGCCTTGATATCTCTCTTATCCAGATGGAGCATATGTACCTAAAATTAAATTAGTAATCCCAGGGAATGATGCCAGATGCCCCTGGGCAATGGATGATTGAGCATCAAATGTCTGGGGTAGATGGAAGTCCCATCTTTCAGAAGGTGCTTGTACAGGAGGGAGAGAACACTAAGGGATGGAGTGGTTGGAGGAAACTTCACAGGTGGGATTGTTAAGGATAGGGAGACGCTAATAGTAAAGAGCACCTTATAGGGAACAAAGCACAACAAGAATCAAGGCACCAAAGCAGAAATAGGCCTATAATTTTGTCCTGTGGGTAAAGAGTCGGCACATCTAAGCTGGGTCAGAAGATTTGTGTGAGTAAGCAGAAAATAAAGTTGGGAGAAAGGTTGCATTTGGATTTGAAAGCCTTGGAACTTGGATTTTATCCCATTAGGCAGTGAGGGAAGTTTTGAGGAGGTGGGAGATGATGAAAGCAGTGTAGACTGGCCATGGAAGGGACATAAATTAGGAGGTATTGCAGTTGTCCGTGCTAGAGCTGATGAGGGTCTTGAACTAGCTCAGATCACCCCTAAGCACTCACCCATATATGCCAGTGTCTGTAGGTGCTAAGAAACAACACTGAATATGTTGGGGTGTACCCGCTCCTTTCAGGGACATCGTGCTGTATTTAGAAGGAATTCTTTAGCTGTGTTGCTTGGAGTAAAGGAATAAGAATAAGGAATAATTTAAAAAATGGGAAAGTCAGGAAAGGGAGGGGAAGTTCTGGGGAAGGCGGCTCATTTGGCTTTAGACTTGTTGAGGTGACAGAAACATCTGCCGGGAAATGCAGTCAGAAATACACCAGCAACATCTGAAGGAGAGGGGCCGACTTGTGAGCCTTCTCCTTGCAGGTGATGGTTGCAAGCATGGTGCTATTAGAAAGCCAGGAGAGAGCATCAGATCAAGAGCTAAAGCTCGGCACAAATACTCGAGACTGACCTTCCTTTCATAGGCCTTTCCTTGAAGGTTTCTAGTGACATCCTAGATGCTAAACCCAAAGCAGCTTTTCAGCCTTATCTCCAGACCATTATGCAGCGTTTTATATGGGTGGCTGTTTGAATGTGGTTCCTCCCACCTGTCAGGAAGGCAGTTTGGCAGTGTTATTTCAAATGGTTATTCTCCATACCTCTTTTTAAAATTTATCCTAAGAAAATGATTAGAGGGACACCGAGGACTTTTCATTAGTTCTGAAATGAATATCTCTTATATAATAGGGAAATATTAGGAGATCAGTTAAAGTTATTTATTTATTTATATTCAAGTAAATTAACAGAGTGTTACATTAGTATCAGATGTACCATATAGTGATTCAACAATTCCATACATTAGTCAGTGCTCCTCATGATATGTGTACCCTTAATTCCCTTCACCTATTTCACCCATCCCCCACCCACTTCCCCTCTAGCAACTACCAGTTTGTTCTCTATACTTAAAAGCCTGTTTTTTTGTTTGTGTGTCTCTTTTTTGTTTTTCCCTTATTTACTTATTTACTTATTTAGTAATCTCTACACCCAACATGGGACTTGACTCACAACTCCAAGATCAAGAGTCACATGCTCTTCTGACTGAGCCAGCCACATGCTCCATATCTTTTTTCTTTGTTCGTTTGTTTTGTTTTTCTTTTCTTTTTTTTTTTTTTAATTTTTTTAAATGTTTGTTTATTTTCGAGAGAGACGGTGAGCGGTGGAGGGGCAAATAGAGAGGGAGACATAGAATCCGAAGCAGGCTCCAGGCTCTGAACTGTCAGCACAGAGTCCTAGGTGGGGCTCGAACCCACGAACCTCTGAGATCATGACCTGAACCGAAGTCGGCCGCTTGACCGACTGAGCCACCCAGGTGCTTCTCTTTCGTTTCTTAAAATCTGCGTATTAGTGAAATCACATGGTATTTGTCTTTCTCTCACTTCCTTCATTTAGCATTAGACCCTCTAGTTCCATCCATGTTCTTCCAAATAGCAAAGTTTTATTCTTTTTTTTTTTTTTATGGCTGAGTAATGTTCCTATGTGTGTCAGGGGTGTGTGTGTGTGTATTTGTGTGTGTACACCACATCTGTATCCATTCATCTATGGATGGACATGTGGGTTGCTTCCATATCTTGGCTATTGTAAATAATGTTGCAGTGAACGTAGGGGTGCATGGGACACCTGGGTGTCTCGGTTAAGCAACCGACTCTTGATTTCAGCTTCAGTCATGATCTCATGGTTTGTGGATTCAAGTCCCAAGGCGGGCTCCATACTGATGTGCAGAGCCTGTTTGATATTTTTCTCTCTGTCTCTCTCTCTCTCTCTCTCTCTGACCCTCCCCCCTCTCAAAAATAAACAAACAAATAAGCTTTATTTATTTTTTTTTAATTTTTTTTTTTCAACATTTATTTATTTTTGGGACAGAGAGAGACAGAGCATGAACGGGGGAGGGTCAGAGAGAGAGGGAGACACAGAATCGGAAACAGGCTCCAGGCTCTGAGCCATCAGCCCAGAGCCTGACGCGGGGCTCGAACTCACAGACCGCGAGATCGTGACCTGGCTGAAGTCGGACGCTTAACCGACTGCGCCACCCAGGCACCCCAAATAAGCTTTAAACATAGGGGTACACATATCTTTTCATTTTCTTTGGGTAAATATCCAGTAGTTCCATTACTGGATCAGCTTAAATGCCTTTTGCCCTTAGCAAAGTGTCAACACTGAGGCAGCTGAGCTCCCAGAGGAAGGTCACTCTGCCTGTCTCAAGGACTTGTCAATGTGCTGTAAGTTGTAAGGAAATTTAATTTTCTTCTTTTGTCTTTATATCCCACATCATTCCCCCTGAACAATTTTGACCCTTAAATCTTTAAGGTTGCTAAGGGTGGAAGGTCTTATCTTCTGTAACTTCTTCCTCCTGAATGAGTAGCATAGAGATGTCCTTACCTATGGGTCAACAGTGGTCAATTGGGGATATATATATATATATATATATATCCCCAATTGACCACTGTATATATATCCCCAATTGACCACTGTATATATATCCCCAAATGACCACATATATATATATATATGGCAGAGGCCTTTGAATCCAAGGGAGACCACATGTATGGATCTTCTGAGTGGAAAGGATCATCTGTCAGCTTCAAGTTATGGTAATGAAGGAGTCTCAGCACCAGGTGAAGAGACATGGGAGAAAACAGCAAAACATGATTAAAATTAACAAAAAGAAAATGAAGCCCAAATAAGAGTCCTTTGATAGTTGACAAAAATCCTCCTCCAGTCCAGGAGTTTAACCAATCATTAAAGGGAAGAGAGGGATCCTTTAAGGCACCAGTTTGAGTGATCATGTCAGTTAGAAACCCAGAAATATTTTTGTGGTAATTTAGAATGTATACGTAGTATTCTGTTTTTAGAATAGCACAAGTTCCACCTTGTGCAGCAGTTAAAACATCTGATGTCATCTTGTTTTGTAAAACTGCTTTACACATCTGTGTTACGTCAGTATTTAATAGGGAAATGCTATTTTGAGTGTCTTTTAGGGCTTTGACTATGTTTATTAAGAACTTCCATGTGTCAAACAGTATCCTCCAGTCCTAAAGAGGTAACAAAGATGGATGGTAGGTGGTCATACCAATGAAACACACAGCGTGTCCACTGTTGTTGTTGTTGTTGTTGTTGTTTTTAAAGTTTATTTATTTTGAGAGAGAGAGAGAGAGAGAGAGAGAGAGAGAGAACGAGTGGGGGAGGGGCAGAGAGAGGGAGAGAGCGGATCCCAAGCACACTCTGCACTGCCCGCTTGGAGCCCAGTGTGGGGCTTGATCCACACTGGATCAAGATTGCGAGATCATGACCTGAGCCCAAATCAGGAGTTGGACACTTACTCGACTTAGCCACCTAGGTGCCCCTGTGTCCACTGTTGTTTTAAATTTGGAAGGTTGGCTGGTTTGGTGAAGGTTTTA